CTTGTTGTCACATGTAGAACACAACCAATCATTTTTGGAAGTTTTCTTTTTACACCACACAAAAGCCTAGCATTTTAACAGAAACGTGTCCACATATGAGGGCCGCTGTATGCGTTGGGCATGTATGTTTGCATGTGTTTTACTTTATATAATTGTTTTTGCTATCAGATTGTTTAAAAACTTTTATTGCTTTTACTTATGTAAGGTGACCTTGTGTGTCCTGAATAAACTGTATTATTATCATTATTATTATTAAAGGTTGATTTAAGCTCATTTTTAGCCAAAAGAACTGAGTTTTAAGTCAAACAACATAGAAAACAAGAAAGAGTCTAAGGGGGAGTGGACACAGAATTAATGCAAAAGCCAGAGAGCTCAGTTCTGAAATGGTCATGGTTGAAACCAGAATTCACAACGAATTTCCGGCAACAGTGCCATGCCTAAGTCCCCCATGATTGTTTTCTGGTTCAAGGGGTTTCTGCATTTCAAAGCTTTCTTCCTGCCCACGCCTGTGATTCAGCCTTGTTAAGGGGCCTGCATTTTACAGAGGGAAGTCTCCATGATCCCAGAAACAGAATGAAGACTGACCGTCAGTCACAGAGTTCTAAGTGTTCCAGCTGGGGTGTGGTGCTGTGGACCTGCCAACTATGGTGAATGACGTGGTAACTGAGTGTGCTTTTGCAATAGAAGGTAAACTTCAAACTACTAAACTCTCATCAGGCCTTTAAACCCATTTTCCCTCTGAAAAGAATAACAACATATAGGTTAACTGAGGAAAAATGTTCAAGCTAGGACTCTGAAGAAGGTGCTTTTTGATTAAAATATGTCATTGACACAGAATAAGAAGTCATCATTACAGGGTCATTAAAAAAAAAAGCCAAAAGCAAATTTGCTCCATAAAAATAACAAAATAACGGGTAATTAAACAACTTACAGTTGTGCACAGGAAGCAATGGATAATCTCATTCCAGTTATTTAGAAGCTTCAGGAAGTATTTAGCATGAGCACAATAAATTAAAGGAGTAGTTAGTGATTATGTAGATTTAAAAGTTATCAGCAGTTAATATCTTACCTGGAGTACAAAACTCTCGCTGTGTCTTCGTTTAGATTAGTTAGTTAGCAGTTAGTTATTTTCTTACTCTTAATCTTAATGGCTGGAAGCCATTTGTGGTTCTAAATCAGTTTTATTTAATGTATTTATTTAGTTTTATTTAGTCAGTCAGTCAGTCATTTTCTACCGCTTATTCCATAGTGGGTCGCGGGGGAGCTGGTGCCTATCTCCAGCAGTCTATGGGCGAGAGGCGGGGTACGCCCTGGACAGGTCGCCACTCCATCGCAGGGGCAACACACAAAAAACCATGCACAACTCATTCATACACTTAAGGGCAATTTAGAGTGACCAATTAACCTAACAGGCGTGTCTTTGGACTGTGGGAGGAAGCCGGAGTACCCGGTGAGAACCCACACATGCATGGGGAGAACATGCAAACTCCAGGCAGAAAGACCCCCGGCCGGGAATCGAACCCAGGACCTTCCTCCTGCAAGGCAACAGTGCTACCAATTGCAGTTTATTATTATTATACTTTATTATACACAATCACTATCTGTTCATTAAGAGTCCGTATTGTATTCTACAAGCAAATGAACATCCTAGCATCTGTATTTTGACTCCCTTAAACATTTCTTCTGTTTTTGAGTGAGGACAATAACCAGTTTTCAAGACGATTTCATTTATTAGGGGGAAAAAAAATCAAAACCAACCAGACTGTACGTGAAAATTTAATGCCACCTTTGTGAATTAAATTTTGAACAGTTCGTGAATTAAAGTGCATTTTTTAACCAGTATTTATTTCATTATCCACACCCAGGTCTGATTACTGGCAAACCCGTAGAACCAAGAAATCACTTACATGGACCCTGTCTGACATCCTAAAGTTGGCAAAATAATCTTAAAGAGTAAGACATCATGCCCCAATCTGAAGAAAGATGAGGAAAAAAGTCATTAAAGTCTGGAAAGGTTTACAAAGCTGTTTAGTTTGTTTTCATGCTTTTGCTATCCACAGTGAAAGCCAATATCCAGGAATGGAACATAAAGGCCTGTCTTATGTTGTCCAAAACACATCTTGATGATGCCCAAACCTTTAGTAAAATAGTCTGTGGTCTGATGAGACAAAAGAGAAACTTTTGGAAGTTATATGTCCCCTTACATCTGGTTCACGTCCTTCACAGGCGACTCTCTGTCCCTCTGTCCAGGTAGTTGTGGATGGACCCTCGTCTCATTGATGGTAGAGTGGCAATCAGGAGGTCAGAATAATCCAACAGATTGTTTGATTATCTCTTTATCTTATTAAACCAGGACCAGGTATTGAAGCATTAATTACAAAGGAAACATGCTTTGTACCAGATAATAGCCCTCAGAGCTAATTTCTATCTGCAGTCCCTGAGACAAACAGACATACATTACACAAACAACAGTATACAAAACAATTCAGAGGCTCTATACAGGTAGAACTGCTTTTAAACATTTTAAGGTAAAAACATTAAAAGTAATCATTTTTTACAATTCACTGCTTGCTCCCTGTTTTGTCACTTTTGAGTAAGTTGCTTGAAAGAGAAAACTTCTAACTAAATTCTTGCATAAAAGCATATTTTGGATACCTTTAGTACTGCTTTGTGTGGAGTAACTGCAGCTGAGAAAAGATTTCCAGACTTCTTTAAAAATGTCTAAATGCTAATAACCAAAGTCTGTCAGAGAGCTTCTGTTACAGAGTGTTACTATATCGAGTGGCATCATGGGAAATGTAGGGTTCTAGATGTTTAGGTTGTGTGTAAAGTTCTAACGTCTGAAATCTTCTGTATCCTCTGTGAATCTTTCAGATTCACCCACGCTTCCCTTGGCCCCCTGTGCAGTAATATTCCAATTATTTAAAATGTTTCAGACTCTCGGCTTTCTGAGGTTTCTGTCTTTGCTCTGAGACAATTAACCTTTAGTTTCTGTGAAAGGCTAGCTTTTTATTTCCAGATCATTTTGAGACAAAAAATAATTGCTTTGGGGTTTAACCCCTGCAGAATGTAAGAAGGAGGGATAAAAGCCATCATGTGAGGGGCAGGGTATCTGTTTCACATGGTCCCTGTCAGTCCTCATCTTCCCAGTGAGACATGAGAGCATGAAAGGGCAAACCTCATAATAAAATGAAATAACACCCCC